TAGTGTTATCCAGTGGTAGTAATAACAATACTTATTATTCATTGAATGTTTACTTTGTGTCAGGTACCGTTCAGAGCATTTTACAGGTATGATCTCATTTAGTCTTCACAACAACCTTTTGCAGTAAGAAGTATAATTATTTGTATTTTAAACGCAAGAAAAATGAGGCAGAGAGAAGCTAAGTAACTTTCTCATGGTCACACAGGAAGCATGAGGTAGAGCTAGAATTCAAACTCTCACTTCTGAGTAGAGTCCATGACTTAGGCTAGTCGTAACCATCAAGATTCATTCTGCCTCTGGAAGATGACAGAGTTCAGCAAATTGAAGATGAGACTCGTTACATGAGTTCTTTTGTTTATTAATTTCTAATTAAAATAAAAGGAGGAAAGCATGAAGTATGTCTCAGGGGTTGTAGTTTTATGTCAAAAATACAACAGTTTTAGACGGTGAAAAACTAAGAACATTATAAATATGTACGATGATTATCTATTTTGAAAATTCTGATTTTCACATAACAAGGAAGACCTTTCTTTTTTAATGGTAAGCTTATAATACTGTCTCCAAGTGATTTTTGTATGTAGATAACACTACAGCTTTCAAGACTAAAAGTACAGCTATACGATTACAGCTATATGACTTAACAGCTATATGACCTACAGCTATATGATTACAGCTATAGGACCTACAGCTATATGATTATAGCAATATCACTTACAGGTATATGACTTACAGCTATATGATTACAGCTATATGACCTACAGCTATATGATTACAGCGATATCACTTACAGCTATATGACCTACAGCTATATGATTATAGCAATATCACTTACAGGTATATGACTTACAGCTATAGGATTACAGCTATATGACTTACAGCTATATGATTACAGCTATATGATTACAGTTATATGATTACAGTTATATGACTTACAGCTATATGATTACAGCTATATGACTTACAGCTATATGATTACAGCTGTATGATTACAGCTATATGATTACAGCTATATGACTTACAGCTGTATGATTACAGCTATATGATTACAGCTATACGACTTACAGCTATATGATTACAGATATACGACTTACAGCTATATGATTACAGCTGTATGATTACAGCTGTATGACTTACAGCTATACGACTTACAGCTATACGACTTACAGCTATATGATTATAGCTATATGATTACAGTTATATGACTTACAGCTATATGGATTACAGCTATATGACTACAGCTATATGATTATAGCTATATGACTTACAGCTATATGATTACAGCTATATGACTTACAGCTATATGATTACAGCTATATGATTATTTGCCCTCATATTTGTATTTGTATGATATACAGTTTTACAGATATACAATATTTGTATGATTACAGTTATATGACTTACAGCTATATGATTACAGCTATATAACTTACAGCTATATGATTACAGCTATATGACTTACAGCTATATGATTACAGCTATATCACTTACAGCTATATGACTTACAGCTGTATGATTACAGCTATATGATTACAGCTATATGACTTACAGCTATATGATTACAGCTATACGACTTACAGCTATATGTTTACAGTTATATGATTACAGCTATATGACTTACAGCTGTATGATTACAGCTATATGATTACAGCTATATGACTTACAGCTATATGATTACAGCTATATGACATACAGCTGTATGACTACAGCTATATGATTACAGCTATATGACTTACAGCTATATGATTACAGCTGTATGACTTACAGCTATGTGTTACCCTGGTGCATTAAATGGTATAGGTCAACTCGGAGGGATTGAGTCTTCCTCTGCTGTAATTTTACTGTATGACATAGTACTTAGAGAAGTCAGCCACCGAGACGAGCAGGCTTATACGGACCATCCTTGGCTAGTCAACATTAGTGGCATGGGATTGGACCTCCTGCTTAGTGGCTTTAAGACTTCCCTGAATATTTTACACCCATCAGCGTTTGGTCATTAAACAAGAAATTTCTTCATATATCCTGAAAAAGGTCTACTGAGTTGGTCCATGTGTGGTGGGGGAGCTATATGGCCTCAAAGTGCAGATTAGAAACCCAGGGAGTGGATATTCCAATTTGTTTCCTGGTAAAAAATGTCTCTTACTCTGAAAACCACTGTGAAGAGACAAGGTTTCTGATGAGATTGTGCTGTCCACCTCAAGGATGTTGGGGCTGGGGGCCGGCCCAGTGGCATACTACTTAAGTTCACACGCTCTGCTTTGGTGGCCTGGGGTTTGCAGGTTTGCATCCCAGGTGTGGACATACACATTGCTCATCAAGCCATGCTGAGGCGGTGTCCCACAAACGAAAGTGGGAAGATGGGTACAGACGTTAGCTCAGCAAAAATATTCCTCAAGCAAAAAGAGGAAGATTGGCAATACATGTTAACTCAGAGCCAATCTTCCTCATACGCACAAAAAAAGGATTTTGTGGCTGGAAAAGGTTGAAAACTACTGGTATTGCTAATATAAGGATAAAGGAACTCCCCTGTCCCCAGCCCCCACCAATTAAAGGCAAAGTATATTTCTAGCATTTTGATTTTTACAACTTCCCTTAAGAAGGTTCTGAAGGGACTTCATTGCTTCTATATCTAGGGGTTGCTTCTCAGGTACATTTTGGGAGAAATTATATAGATATAAATTTCTTCTCTGAGAAATATTTAAATAAGCTAACAACCAATATCATTAAATTATTTCATTAACATCTACCACAGGAGTTTGCCAAATTATCTGACCTTTTCACATTAAAATTTGTTTGTCTGGAAAAGGGCATAGTTAAACAAAAAAGAGCATGGCTTTAAAAAAAGCCCAATATAAAAATTTAGCTGCCTGTTTAAAAGATTCTGAGGGGCCGGCCCGGTAGCGCAGCAGTTAAGTTTGCAGCTCTGCTTCGGAGGCCCGGGGTTTGCTGGTTCAGATCCCAGACACGGGCACAGCACTTCTTGGCACACCATGCTGTGGCAGGCATCCCACATATAAAGTAGAGGAAGATGGGCACAGATGTGAGCTCAGGGCCAGTCTTCCTCAGCAAAAAGAGGAGGATTGGCAGCAGATGTTAGCTCAGGGATAATCTTCCTCAAAAAAAAAGAAAAATTAAAAAAAAAAGATTCTAAAATGCTTTTCATTCTAATACAGCAAATTTCTGGCAAAGCCAGCATATTTCTGCTTACGTTTTTCAGAGAGCTGCTACAAGGTAGTCAAACTGTAGAAATGCCGTCTACAGTGTTGGTTGAGATGTGGTATATTCCTAGATCAAATGGGAATATCAAAACCCAGCATCCTCGGGCCCTGGAAGAACACCTCTGTGGGCTGTACTCTGGCACGGGGCCTTTGCACTACACTGCAACATGCTAAAAGCACAGTGTTTCAAAGTCCATCATTACGCCGCCTCTAAGGATATTCTAAGACAAGTGACTGTTCCCCAGATCATTGAGTGGTCCCCACTGAAAACCCCAGGTGACAAATTTCCTTCAAACTCAGCGCTAGGGAAGACTCCCCTCTTCCCTAGAAGAGCTGGTATTTTTCCCTTAGGAACCACCACTTAGCTCTGTGTTTCTTGTCAGGGGTTACGGCATTTGGGTAGAACAATTCTTGGCATGTGGATGTGCCTCCCCTGGACAGCCATTTAGCAGTCCTGGCCTCCAGACCTTAATGCAGTCGGGCACTGGGGCATTGCGACCACCCAACTGCCCACATGTTTCCAAACGCACTAGATGAGAAGACACGAAATAAATTATTTATTTCCTTTGTTTTGTCTACCAGGAAACTCACTGAAATTTGTCATTTTAAAAAAATATGTGGGTAAGAACACTATGTGTTTTACATCTGCATTCTAACTTTCTGCCAGTCTTGAACTTCCAGTTTACTTTATATTTTCCATGGGCCTCAATTGCATTCTGTATTCTGATTTTACTGTTAAGAAGTCCAAATCCTTTGTTGAATCAGACGAGGTACAAGTAAATGAAGACAGCTTGACAGTTCAGAAGCATTTTCCCCCTTCATTCTTAAAAGTAGTACTAACTTGAAATAAAGTATCATTGTTGTGTACAGTACACATTTTTTCTTTCTTTTTTTTGAATAAGATTAGCTCTGAACTAACATCTGCTGCCAATCTTCCTCTTTTTTTGCTGAGGAAAATTGTCCCTGAGCTAACATCTGTGCCCACCTTCCTCTATTTCATATGTGGGACACCTGCCACAGCATGGCTTGATGAGCGGTGTGTAGGTCCACGCTCGGGATCTGGGCTGGGGGACCCCGGGCGGAAGCACAGTGAGCGAATTTAACTGCCACACCACCAGCTGGCCCCTACCGTACACATTTTTAACTCCTATACATAAGGGGTCGAAAAGCTACTCCACAGACACCTAGCTCTTAGGAATTAATAAAGAGTAATAAGACAAAGACAAGAAAACATTTTTTAAAACTTTTGATGAAAGAGACTATGTATAAATAAAATAACACATTTATACAAAGCTTTATTTCTAGATAACAGCAATTTCAAATGAGAAGAGCCCTTAGGAAGTATTTATTATTTTTAACACTATAAAAACTCTTTTGCTAAAAATATAAATTCTATTTATAAGGCTAGTTTTTGTGTGTGTCTTCATTTTAGATGACAAATTTTGGAGGAAATCTAATCATGCACTGTGTTTTTTTCCATATGAGCAGAAGTGTTTTTGGTTTTGATTTAACTGCATGCTTCCCTCAGATTCATCATTTTTGGCAATCTTTATTGATGGAAAGTATTAAGCAACTCAGCATTATTAGGCATTTTGTATAGGTTTGTCTTTTAATATAAAACATCTTTGGGGACTATAGTGCCCCAAATGGTGTTGTTTTCATACTTATTTGTATGTCACCGATAGTCTTAGGAGGTACTTTTGAGGGAGTATTTAGAGAAGATCCTGTTAACTTCTGTGAAACGAGATAAAAACTAAAGATGACATTACCCTATGTCCTTCTTACCTTAGAAGTGCAAACAGCTATGTTAGCGGGAAGCTGGGAAAACTGCTTCAATTCAAATACGTCACGCGCTGCCCATCGGCTCATGTGGTTTTCAGCTCTGCTTGATCCGATCACATTCTGGTTCGAGTGAATGTAAGCCACCTCCCGAACACCATCTAGGAAGTAATTGATGTTTAGTAAGTGATGTCTCATTATGAAGCAATATGGTTCCACATATTCTTTAAAAATTATCAGCAATGCACTACAAAACAGGTTATGTTTGTTTTATTTTTAATCTTTAAGAAAAATATTGTTTGTATGTTAACATCACACTATTATTTTTTAAAAACACTGAAAAGAGAAAGAGTTGAAATATATTGGTCTAGGTTAACTTGGAAATGACTTTTCCCTCTCATCACTATGAGAACTTCTGAGATTAGGTAACAATGTTTAGATTTAAACCTGAAATGAGGGTTTTGGCGAAGAGAAAAGTCATGGTGGAGGGTTGTCTGTGTGTATTTGTTGTCTCTGTTGACTTAGAAAAATTGTTTATGAATCTGAAGAACAGCGCTCGCCTCCGCTGCCCACAGTGATGGGGCGGGAGTGGGGCTGGGGACCAGGGAGTTTCATTTGGTTGGCTTTGATCAGTTTTACTGTTGGCTGTTTTGTCGTTTTTGTCATATGCCCAGAGAATGTCAAGACTGGGAGCTTTTTAGGAAATGAAAAAAATTAACTTACAGGTTTTATCTGAAAGAAGTTTAAAAAATGGCTACATTTTTTTATTGCTTTGCCTCTAGGCACCTAAAATTTACTTTTAAATTGTGGTCATCAAAGAGAAGGCTAGAACTGAGGTCTGCAGCAGCTCCCTCCAACAGCTCTGGCCAGAGCCTCAATCACCACCTTCAGCACGTGTGTGTTTCAGCCCTGGACCTCTCTCAACCAGAAGTGCCAATCACCTGAAAACAACCTGCTGTTAAACAACAAGACTAAAAGAGCAACTAAGATGATACTCTCCTAACATATTCAAACATTAGGTAGTATATACGGCAACAGATTAAAACCGTCAAAAGCATGGTTCTGGTAGAAAATTTACTCAGATTTTTCTTAATTTTGATGACATATTTTATGCATTATTCAAAGTAGCATTAGTTCCACACTAACTATTGACATATTTTATGCAGTAAAAAAAACCCCACAAAAAGTGAAAAAACTCAGCCGATTATTTAAAAAATAGTTTATGCAATAATTCCCCAAACCTAAAACCTAACTGTAGGGCACAAATCAAAGGATAGTCCAGTACTTAGTTACAACAGCCATCAAAACACACACCACAATCATCTTCTGAAGGAGACTACTAATAACCACAAAAGAAAGCTTTATTTGTAAATAAGTGAACACCATGATTAAGGTTTCTACATCAAAATATTTTCGCTTATATATCAGCTTCTTTCACATAGTTCTTTGAGTCCAACACTCTTGGAAGCAATGCTAAGTCTTAACATCACTTAACACATTCTCAGCAGATGGTAGCGGCAGGGGAAGTAGTTTTCCAATCTCTCTGAATCCCTACTTGCGACAGACAGCAAAACTACAGCCATGACAACTCTTACAACAAAATTAGATGATGAGATACCCCCATGAGCCCCAAAATACAAGCATCTGGGGACAAGCCACCAACAGCTACAAAGGGTCTGTGTGAAGGAAGAAGGAAGCAACAGGGTGGCATCTGATGGCTCTGAGAACAGGAAACCCAGAATAGACAACAGGTATTTACTGGAAAGCACAATGGGCCGCCTAGAGAACAGCAGCTGAATCTGGGAAGGTTTTCTGCTCCCCAACACTGACTAGGTGCAAGGGGCGCAGGGGAGAAGGCCTGAAGCGGCTAGCACGGGCTAGCCCTTAAGAACTCCCCAAATGGACCCACCAGAGCTCCTGCCCAGGTCAGGGCCATGCAATGAGGAAAAGCTCCTGGGAGGTCAAAATGAGCAGGATAGGAAGAACAGGGACAAGGGGAAGAGAAGGTCTAGAGCAAAGATGGGAGAGAATTCCACCATGGTTTTGAACAATACACAAAAATAACAGATAGGGATCTCTGAGACATTAGAAAGGACTTCCTAAACTCTGTCTCATTTAAAAAATTCAAAGCAAATAATTTCTATAAAAATGAGCAACAGGGTCAAATCTCCTAAAAATTATTACAAGAGAAAAGAGAATAAGCAGAATAATATTCCTACAATGGCAACATGCCAGAAAGCCATGCTCACAAACAGATTAAAACTGTAACTGATTTCAAAATGAGGTAAAAGATTTTTAAGAAAATGATAAAATACAAGATCCAACAAGATAAATCAGAATTAGAATAACTCAGAAATAAGTGACAGAACTCAGAAAAGACAGAGAACTTAAAAAATATATATATATTTCAGAAATGAAAACTAAACTAGAAGGAACATAAGAAACACAGTATATACTGCTTTAAGAAAATTAGAAGGAATGTTTTTAAGAGCAAAAAGAAATGAAAAAGATAAAAAAGGATTTCAGAGAATGTAACAAATACTGAAGATAGGCAAAGAAGATCCAACATTTGAGTAACAGGAGTCCCTGAAGAAGAAAGCCAAAGGAATAGAATAAGTAACTAAAAATATTAGTATAAGAACGTTTTTCTGAAATAAAAACCGAATTGAAACTACACTATAAGAACATTGACGCAGAATAACCAACACTGCTATGGACTGAATGTTTGTGTCCCCCCACATTCCTATGCTGAAGCTCCCAGTGCAATGGTATTTGGAGGTTAGGCCTTGGGAGATAATTAGGTCATAGAGATGAAGCTCTAATGAAAATGATTAGTGTCCTTACAAGAAGTGACACGAGAGGTGATTTCCCTCTCTGCCATGTGAGGACATAGCAAGAAGGCAACCATCTGTAAATCAGGAAGGAGGCCCTAACCACGAACCAAACCATGTTGGCACCCTCATCTTGGACTTCCAGCCTCCAGAACTGTGGGAAATAAATTTGTTTAAGCCGCCCAGTCTGTGGTACTTTCTTATAGCAGCCTGAGTCGACTAAGACAAACACCAAAACACAATCTAGTAAAACTACTGAATAATAATGAAAAGAAAAAACCCCCTTTGTGCATCTAGGGGGAAAAAGATGAACAGATGGCACACTACGTCATGCCAGAAGAAAATGAAGCTACATATTTAGGATACTCAAGAAAAGAAAGTGTGAGCCAAGAATTTTATATCCAGCAAAAATGACTTTTAAGTATAAAGAGCACAGACTGTTATCAACAAGAATCTCGGGAATATTATTCTCATGAGCACTTCCTGAGGGAACTACTAGAAAATAAGCTTCAGATGACCAAAATTACTCGAGAGACACTGACATAAGGACTGATGGGGAACATTAAATTTATAGTTACCTGCAAACAAGGATAATGACGTCTAAGAGGCGGGGCATTTACAGTGCAATGTCCGTATGTTCTGACAATGTAAACACAGTACATCCATTTTAAATTGGGAAGAAATGGGAGAACACATGCAAAAAACCCTTAATGTTTCCAGGAATCATAGTGCAGTAGTAGTGGTATTTTTATTCTTTGACTTTTGTGTAATATGGGATAAAACAAATGAGTAATTATGGAACGTTATAATTAAATCATTCCCTATATGCTTAAGAACCAGGATTATCAGTATGGAAGAAATGGTATACAAATGTGCTAGAGAAGAGGTTAAGTAAAAGCTCTATACTCTCAAGTTAAGCATCAATATAAATATGGAAGTATCAATAGAAACTCATCATGTATTTTATCATATATAAAAATACACATATGTACATAAACACACATATAAATATACACATAAGTATAAATATATATATACACACACATATAAATAGAAACCTATGTTCATATAAATATATATGTATGTACATACACACAAAAATAATCTGTCCAGTGAAAAGGCCCAGAAATAATGACCGAGCTAGTAGTAGCAATAATCATTCCTAGCACCAGACTGCGGTCTTGAAACACACTTTCTCACTAAATGAAACCAAGACTTCTTGGAGAAATGACTGATTCTAGGTCTGGGGCAGAAAATGTATAGATGATCCCGGAACATCTTGTAATACTAGATAGCAATCAAAGATGACTAGCATCATGTCAGAATGTCTCAGGAACCAAAATTCTCATGTCCAAAGGCTCCCACTGTCCAAAGATGGGACAATTGAGCCTCAATAATGATATTAATTGCAATGAATTGAGACTCATTAAATGTGTTTGAATCAATTAATTCATACGATTTTAAGAAAAGAATGGGTCATCCTCCAAGGATGATAGGGAATCCATTTATTATACTAAAAACTGGTAAAGATAGGAATTAAGTCTTTTTGCCTTCTCTGTATGAACTGTACTACTGGGTAATAGTAGATGAGGGGAAGTATCTCCTTATGGAAGCATTCTAACAAACAAATGAAAAAGAAATAAGAGAAGTAGAAAATATCATTGTGCTAACCTGAATGAATAAATAGTTACAGGCATTAAGCAACATTGGCTGCCAAGATTATAGAGACCAGCAAACATTTTGTGCCTCCCATGGTCTTGCCAAACTTTTGTCAAAGGGATTGAACTGGAGTTTGATACAGTCTCAGGAGCCAACTGCTCACTTGCAGGAAATACAGAGGGCAGAGAAATACGTTCAACTGTACCAATAGCACACAATCAGCAAAATGCAAATTGAGGAAAACTCTGCAGATAGCTCAAGTTCCTCAACAGATAAATCATAAGGAAATGAAAGAGAAGCAAGAGGAATCTTATAGATTGAAAGAGATTACATAAAGATTTTAAAAATAGGCAGGACAAAACTATAATGTTTAGGGATACACATTTGTGTGATAAAACCATAAAAATGCCAAAAAGTAATTACTGTAAAAGTTAGAATAATTAGTATTTGTAGGGGTAGGGGAGCTGTGATTCAGATGGGGCACATGGAGGGAGTCCTGGGGTAGATGACAAAGTTCTCTACCTCAACCTAGCTGGTCTTCCCTTTATCCTGCCACTCACCCATTTCCTCATTTGTGCTTCAACATAGCATGTTGATTGCAGGCCTATTTTATAAGCTAATTCAAGAATTTCTTACAGAACTATTTGATTGCACAAAACAAATATGCAAAGAAAAGTTTTCAGAATGTATCTGTAGTTACCTAAAAATTTATCCATTGATTCATACATCTGCGCTTGATTGACAACTCTCTCATTCGAAAATTTCATTGGTTTTCTGGGTATGAAAGTGCTATTTTTCTTATGGCTAGGCAATTTTGAAGAGAAACTGATTCTGTCTTTCATAGTTTCTGGTCTATGGCTCTGTTTAGAGAAAGTGATGTCGCTAACAGATAAATCATCATCTGAGGATGAAAAATCATCAACAGTCTGAGAGTTACAATCTCCGTCTGTTGCATACAGTTGGTTTGTTTTCTTCACTGTTTTAGGAAAAGTGTAAAGTTCTCTTTTCTTTTCTTTTTTTCTCTTAAACCTTAAAGAAGTAGTAGCTCTTTGCTTTCTTACTTTTGACTTGGAGGAAATTTCAATGTCATCAGACTCGTCACTAATATCACTGCTGCCTTTTCTTTTCATGATAGGTTTTAGGGTCAGGTTCTCAAGATTTAATTGTTTTGAAATTAGTCCATTTACTCTGAAGTCAGTCTTTTTATAATCACCATTATTTTTTATTTTTACAGGGTTTTCTGTTTCAGAATCTTCAGATCCATCCACAGGTGGCTTAAACCTTATACTGTTCTTAGGGACTTTCTGAGTTGTATATTGTGTGGGAAAGACGACGTCACTATCTTCCGATTCTGTGACATTCTGTAAAATGCAATGGTGGTCAGTTGTATTTTTAAAATTTTTCTCATCATCAAACTCAGAAGAAATCTTCTGTTCTAAAATCTTCTCACTTTTATCAAAAATGCATTTTTCATTTGGATTTAGGGTGTTGGCTAATTTCCGATATCTTGAAATACCAATAGAGTCTCGACTTTTATGACAATCAACATCTTTGGCTTCTGTTGAAAGGCACGTGGGTTGTTCATCAGAACTTTCATCATCAGAGGCAATATTTCCATCACCATCCTCAACTGCTTTAGACGTTGTCTCAAACACGTTAGAGAAACCACATTGGAGTAAGGTAAGTTGTGCGGGAGAACCCGATTTACTTGAGTCCCGTGGTTTGTTCTTAGCAGTCTTTAGTTTTGAGTTTCCCACTGCCTCCTCATCACTGAAATCACTGCAGAGATCACATGCCTCTTTGGCCAGTGGGTCTGCAGGTTGCTCTAGACCTCTGTGTTCTTGACAGTCAGGCTCTCTAGGCTATATAAGAAGCAATAATGGAAACATTAGAAAATGCTGAGATAATAATATTAAATTTATCACACAGGAAGGGAATTAAATTTGGGCAGATGATTTATATACAAGTACCTCACTTAGTATTTTCTAAAAGTACAAAATTTAATAAATAAATGTAAAGTATTTAATGTTCTGTCTGGTACACTCTTTCTCTTTTCAAGTTGAATAACTTTCAAAAACAAAGAAAAGTTTAAACTACAATACCACATGATCAAATGATTTATAAGAAAAGCACAGAGCAGAGTGGTCAGCTGCTAAGATGCTGGGGCCGATTCTGGTCTCAAAAGTGAAAAGCACACAATTGCTTACTGCAGTCCAGCAGATACTTCTAATCATGCTTTGCCAACAAAACAAATTTGTAGGAGTTAACGAAGTAGAGTTCACAACTGGAAAATAGTTCTAATTGATTAAAAATAAGAATAAGATATGATGCAATCTTGACCACTAGAAATAAAGAAAATATTGAAGATACTAAGTAAAATTTGCTAAAAATTTAATCCAATAATTATTTTATTCACATAAATCAGAACTAAATATATCCTTCAGTTTCTTAAAACTGAGACTTTATTAGCAAAAGATTTAGGGAAAGCATTATCCAGTAATACTTCTGCCAACACTTGATATTCATGTATTTCTATAAACTTAGAAAAATATTCACTCCATATGACAAATCATTGGGCTGGTATAAATTTATAGTTAAGTCCCCAAAACAAACAAGAAAAAACCAGCAACAACAATAACAAAAAAACCTTCCATGCATATTCTTTACTTTTAAAAAAGGCCTAATGATGACAACATAGGTTTTGTAGAATATGAGATGAGAAACTACTAAAAAGATCACAAGATCAAGGATTCAAACGAAATAGAGGGTTTGCTTGAGTCAGAGAATGATTCTGATGTCCGGATTTAATCATCTTAAATGTGCATTGATTGCTATTTTTCCATTTAATTTGTTGTTTAGTAAAAAATTATTTATTTAGGTTGGACTGGTCACCTTTACAGTGTGTTTAATTTTGAATTTACAGTTTGCTATAGTTAAAATTCCAGTTTGGATGTAAATGCCTGATGATTGCTCCTGAATTTGTTTTTATGATATGAAATGTTAAATTACCCTAAATTATTAATTTTACTGACAGGCCTCTGACTTTTTGTCCTTGATTTTTTTTTTAAAGAACTTGGCTTTTTTTTTTCTTTTTCTCCCCAAATCTCCCTGGTACATAGCTGTATATTTTAGTTGTGGGTTCTTCTAGTTGTGGCATGCGGGACGCTGCCTCACCATGGGTTGATGAGCGATGCTACGTCCGCGCCCGGGATCCGAACTGGTGAAACCCTGGGCCGCCGAAGCGGAGTGTGCGAACTTAACCACTCGGCCACGGGGGCCGGCCCCATAAAGACATTTTCTTTACTAATTGAGAAATAAATGAAAAAGGAAAAGAAACAAAATTTTCACAGTACATCTTTTCTAGAAATTCTAGGCTACAGATTCAAAAATGGCTTACTGTCTCTGGTTTGTGTACTCGAGGTTCCTCTTTCAACCAAGTCGTGGCTGTCATAACCCCAGCTTCCACTTGGCCTTCTCTCTGTGAAGAATGCAAATAACTGTGTAATATATGGGGTGAAAAACCCCAGATAAACACAAGCGACGGCATGCTAAAACTTGGGAGTTAAGAAAGGACAACGGAGTGCAGCTTGCTTTAGCTCTCTTAACGCTATTTTTCAATTTTCTAATTAAGGAACTCATATACAGTTTAGAAAACATTTAAAAATACTCATAACTCTTAGGTAGTAGGGAGACATACCAGAAGTGTGCTGGGCCATAAAATACTCCTACTTCTTGTCTTAAAGCTTACTTTTTCAGATAGAAAACTAATTATGTTTTTCAGCCAACTCCACTAAAAGCTCTAGTGGGGGGGTAAAGTGAAAAAATGCTATATATTTACCCAGCAACAATATCCATAATAACCATGTCTATATAATAATTATAGTAAGGACATATTAGCAACATTTCAAACAATCACAGATAATGTTGAGTATTGGGAACTTGACATTCTAGCCTATATTACTAGTGTATTTATTGTTCATATTCATTAAAATATGCTTAGTGATTCCTTCGGTGTAGTAGACATCAAAATGAAAAGGTCCATCTAACACGAAACTAAAAATAAAAGACCATTATATAATAGACTTGCTACATCTTTTGGGAAAGTATTTATGCTTTTAAAGCTTTTGGTATGTCCTTTAGCAGAGGTATTTAATGGCCTAGATTCTAGAATATTAAATTCTTCTTCAAAAGGAAATCAATTTATTTCACTTTTTAAGGCTTTATTTATTGATAGAACTCGAGAAAACAATACTACTATCACCAGGGTTACAAATGCCCTACTTACAAATACACAGATATACCAATGGCCTGATATCCAGGGCAACAAGTGAGAATCTCCCCACAGAGCTCTAGAGAATGATAAACAGTTCCTGAACTGCCCTTGAGAGCTTTTCTCTCAATGCCTATAGGCTATTACTGTAAGGGAATGGGAAGCCTCCTTCACAGTACTGCCTTTTTTTTTTCCAACAGAAGCTAAATGGCTACAACAGCTGCAACTGGCAGCATCAGAAATCCTCAAGCTATCAGAATCCCTTTATGATAGGTAAATGGCAACTCCAGTCTTCTGCTGCTCAGGCCAAACACCTTGGAGTCATCCTTAACTCTTCTCTTTTTCTCATACGCTATATCTGATCCATTAGCAAATCCTGTGAGCCCCACCTGGGTAATATATATCCAGAATCCAGCCACTTCTCAGGCCATCCACCACTATGAAACTGGCCCAAACCACCATATTCTCTTGGCTGGATTACTGCAGTATCCTCCTACTTGTCTTCTTGCTTCTGCTCTTGTACTTGCACAGTCTAATTCTTAATATTTAGTCTAGATGCTTTAGATCAGATCTGTCATTCTTCTGTTCAGAGACCTCTAATTGCTTTTTGTCTCACTCAAAGTCAAAGTCCCTGCATGATCTGGCTTCCTGTCATCTCTCTGGCCCCATCTTTGGCTCTCTTGCTTACTCCACTCCAGCCACTCTGGCCTCCCTGTCATTTGGAAGTCATGCTGGGCATGTTCCTCCCTCAGAGGCTGTGCATTTGTTCCTCTGTCTAAAACACATCTTCTGCCCTCGTCTCCTCAAAAAATCAAACGCAACCTCAGGGAGCACTGCCTTGGCTATCCCATCTAAAATTGCAGCACTCTTGCCTGGACAGTCTCCCTATTTCCCTTCCCCACTCTATCTTTTTTTATTGAGATACAATTTACATATAACACTGGGGACACTTAAGGTGGACAATGTGTTGATTTGACACATTTATATATTGCAATATCATTCCCCTGTAGCTTTAGCTAACACCTCTATCAAGTCACATAGTTATCATTTCGTTTTTGTGGTGAGAACATTTAAGATCTAGTCCCTTAGCAATTTTGAAGTCTATCATACAGTATTGTTGACTATAATCACTACGCTGTGCACGAGATCTTCAGAACTGCTTCATCTTCCACCTGCTCTATTTCTATCCTTAGAACCTATCATCATGCTACACTGTATGCTTCACTTATATTTTCTGTTTATTACTTGTCTCCCTCTAATAGAATGTAAATTTTTTGCAGGCAGGATTTTTTGTCTATTTTATTAATTTCTGCATGCCTTGCTCTATGATGTACAGTACCTGATATTTAGCATATACTCAATAAGTATTTGTAAAATTAACTCTCAATATCTATCTCTAAAGGGAAATCATGATATAGATAACAGAAAGTCAATGCAAAATAGGACAAAATTGCCCAGAAGTCATCAGATTAAAAGTGTTCTATAAATTCAAATTTCTACATCTTAAGACATTTTAAAAGGGATTTTCTACAACCTTTAAAAATTAAAAATGTATCACAGGAAATACTTCCTTTACTTTATAAGATAAGCTTCCATTGTACACTGCTTAGAATAATAATATTTTAAAACATCATCTGGCCAAAAGGAGCACGAATCTAATCAGGCATGAACAATTTTAAATTCTAGTTGATACAAATGAGAAATTTTAATTCAAAATTTAATTGAATATTGAGTGCTGATGATGCGCTTCGCAAGAAGTTGAACACATTTTACCATAAACAAAATATAGTACATGGAGGGTCCTGTCACTAATAAACAATCCTGGGGGAGAAACAAGATATACTTAGGACAACCAGAGAACAAGGTTAATAATTTGTCATGCTGAATATCTTATCTAACACTTGTTTAACAAAGGTGGCTATTCTGATAAAATAGAGAACTAAACTATTTGATATATGGCAAAAAACAGGATAAGTACTATAATGCTAAAATATTTTATAGAAAATGATTTCAAATTAGAAACATGGCTATAGGCTGGTATGTTGGGTAGAGCTCTGAAATGGAGGTAGGTTCTGAGGGGGGCCTGGAGGACAAACAAGGCTATTGATTAGAGAAGAGGAATGGGAAAGAACAAGTCCATGAAAGAAACGGCATATTCAAAACAAGAAAAAGAGAGAAAGGGGGACTTTAAATGGACTACTCAATTCAGAACCAAATAGTTACTATAAAATAAAAACTCAGCAGTATACATCAGACATTGTATAAGAGTTGTAATACTCACAAGACACAAATAATATATACCTTCCTCTCCCCGTCCCTCAGTGATCACTCTGAATTGCTACTGAACCTGCTAACACACGCTCACTGACATCACACGTTCATTACGTAAACGTTCTCTTCCACCTCCTGTCAAGAAGGTCCAAGTTCTTGAAGGACAGGGACCAAGTGTTCCTTGAACTGTTTCTATGGTACTTAGTTGATAAATGAAGTACATTAAGGTTTTACAACAAAGTCCTGGAACTTCAGGGATATATTCTTAAATTTTCTGAGACTTAGTTTCCTCATCTCTATGATGAGAGGGTTGCAAAAGATGATATTCCACGATTTTATGAAACTCCTGTCATTATCAACTAGAAAATAGGTTAATATCCTTAGTATTCTGGTATATTAAAGAATTTAAAAGACTTTTTTAAAAGGACATAAATATCCTATTTGAAGAATAAGAAACATCTGTGTGCTGAGGATGAACACAACTGGGAGAGTTTGAAATATTGGTGTGGAATTTTTATTGGGAACAGAAAACAAAAATCTCTGTGAGACATGAGGGTGAATCTCAGGGAGTATTTGGTCACTTAATCAAAACATATTTTATATTTTTGTTTATTTAGAAAAGTCTTTTTTAGTTCTTGACTTCAACAGCTGTTTTCAAAATAATAAATTTCTCTTCGCTAGTCTGAAAATCGCCTTGGAAGTCACACGGCCTAGTACATGTATCTGTATTTTTGTGTGTATCTTATTTATAACTACGCATGGGAAAATCTTAGTTTAGAGGTACAACAATTCATTTCCTATTTCTCTAAAAGAAGAAATTTAAACATAAGGCATTTTTTATAAGTAAACCAAAAATTCCTCTGAAAAGGCACCAGCAATTCTATTTCAAGTTTCCTGAGGGAAATAACTGTGTTTAAAATATTGAAAAGGTCAGAGAACAATTTCACACCTCCAGGATGTCCCTGGTAAGACAAGACTCGTGGGACCTTAGTTTGAAGAGATTATAGACCCCAAAAAGCTCTCCTTGATGCTCTTTTGATCCTTGAACTGCTTCAAAATATCGCTTGGCATTTTCACTTCCGACCACCACACAGTGAAGTTGCTAAAACAGAAAAAACACAAGATGTTTTTGAAGTGTTTGCTCAAACAATACGTCAGACTTTCCTGGCATTCCCTGTATATACACAGCTTTAGCTGGAGTAGGCAGAATCTCCTTAGAGAGGAAATTTTAATTTCCCTAGCAGACATTGCCATTATGGTAAAATAATAATAATCTGGACGGCCTTATTGAAGAAGAGATCTTCCATTTCCTATTTTATCTGTTTTCTACCAATTGAGTCAAGATCACATCTCTATGGAATAGCCACCTGATGTAAAATGTTTCATAATAAAGGCATACATTTGAATACACTTTTCTCCTTTCTAGACTCTTATTACAATAGAACTACTAAAACTGGCACAAATAAGGACTGTATCACCAAAGTTAAATTAAAATCTAAAGTAATTATATGACGATAATGTTGTTGTCAAACTAACTGTGGCCATGGTTACATTGTCAACTAACAGCAAAAACCCAATCACTGTTTAGAAACGCTGCATCTTTGAAACAACTGTGACTACAGAAAGAACACTGACATGGACCACTTCAGTATCAACATGAATGTGCTTCTTTCTTTATTGGGTGTTTTACTAAATGTAATGTGAATATAATCTGATTAACCCTATGTACACTTTGTTTCTTGGGAGAAACAAAGAATGCACAGAATAAAAAATAACTTCAGTCTACTGTTGATGGAAGGATTAGTAAGAGGCAGTACTTTATTGATTTTCATCAGAGCTGATTTGCACAGGAATAAATTACTCTAGGCAACTAAAATTATTCTTATTAACTACAGCTGCTATTTATTGCTACTCTTTAGCTGCTACTTACTACATGTGTAAGACTTTTACATTCTCTTTTAATCCCTACAACCCTATAAGACATCGTCATCTCTCTTTTAGAAATAAAGAAATTTAAGTTTAGAGAAATGAAGTGCCTTGCTCGCAGCTGTCCAGCTAGGAAGTGTCATTTCAAGAATTTATACCTGGGTTTGGCTGAATCCAAAATTTATACTTGTAACAATTTCTCATCTCCAAGATGTCCCTCTTAAAACAAGACCCTTGAGACCTTAGTTTGAAGAAGTTATGGATCACCATACCGACTTGATCAGTTTGATATCAATGTCCCAGAAACACGGGCTCTAGTCCTGGGAATACAGAATCACAATAGCAACTGACGCATCTCACAGCCCAGCTCCCCGATGATGTCACCCTTGCTACTGACTCTCCCTTAAACACGATATTGTCAGACTGCAGGGTTACCAAATACAATCACCAAAGTAATCTGTAAGCATTAATCTGAATCTTTATAATTGCCTACCAACGTTTTATTACAAAATTTATAGAAGGCACATTATTTTGTACTTAAAACAAGTTATCTAAAGTGGCTCTAGTAAACATGAAGGCCAGATGCATCCATCTGTGGGCTAACTACAAAAAAATCATGTTGGAATTCAAGAGAGTAGGGAAAAAAATCAGTAATTAGAAAATGTAGCTTAGTTTCTAGCTCAAGAAAACTACAAAATTGGATTTCTTCACAGCAATATAAAAGATATGCAAGAATTAAATAGAAGAAAAGGAATGTTCATCATGTTAAGGAGTTCATGACCCCTTCCTCCACCTTCAAGGCCAGTAGGTAGCATCTTCATATCTTTTTCTCTGACCCTCTGCTTCTGCTGTCACATCTTCTCTCCTTTCTCTGACCCTCCTGCCCATCCTTCTCCCTTTATAAGGACCCCTGGTGATTACATTGGGCCCATCCAGATAATCCAGGTGGGTTCAGAGGATTAGGTTGTGGATATCTTTGAGGGGACCATTATTAAACCTACCATAGCAAGGACGTGCAAAAAGAATGATGGGGCTTGTCAAAATGACACAGAAGCCACCTTGAAGGGGTTCCCACCGGCCAAAAATGAGACAGTTTGAACATCAAAATAAATAGTGATATTCAGTAGGTTGTAATCTGTTACTAAAATAGGATCCCATGAGTCCACAAAGATTGAAGAAATAAATAGAAGAGAAGAGAAAGCTCTACAAGTCTAAAATTAAGGTGTTGGCAGGGCCATGCTCTCTCTTAAAGTCCTAAGGGAAGACCCTTTCTTTCCTCTTCCTAGCTTCTAGTGGTTGCTGGTGATCCTGGGCATTCTTTTTTTCCTCCTTTAATTATTTTATTGAGGTCATATTGGCCTATAGCAGTGTGTAAATTTCAGGTGTACATTACTCTATTTCAGCTTCTATATAGACTGCATCATGTTCACCACCAATGGTCTAGTTTTATCTGTCGCTATATATATATATACACACACACGTGCTCCTTTAGCTCTTTCACCCTCGCTCTACCCTCTTCCCCTCTGGTAATCACCAACCTGTTCTCCTTATCTATGTGTTTGTTTATCTTTCACATACAAGTGAAATCATGTGGTATTTGAGTTTCTCTGTCTGACATTTCACTTAGCATAAAGCCTTCAATTTCCATCCATGTTGTTGCAAGTGACGCAATTTTGTCTTTTTTATAGCTGAGTGTATTTCACTGTGTGTGTGTGTGTGTATACATATATCACATCTTCTTTATCCACTCATCCCTTGATGGGCACCTAGGTTGCTTCCAAGTCTTGGCTATTGTGAATAATGCTGTGATGAACATAGGGGTGCATATATCTTTTTGAAATAGTGATTTCATATTCTTTGGAATAAATACTCAGTAGTGGGAAGGCTGGATCACATGGTATTTCTATTTTTAATTTTTTGAGAAATCTCCATACTGTTTTCTGTAGTGGCTGTACCAGTTTACACTCCCACCAGCAGTGTATGAGAGTTCGCTTTTCTCCACACCCTCTCTAACACTCATTATTTCTTGTCTTGTTAATTATAGCCATTTTGATGGGTGTAAGGTGATATCTCATTGTAGTTCTGATTTGCATTTCCCTAATAATTAGTGATACTGAACATCTTTTCATGTGCCTGTTGGCCATCTGTATATCTTCTTTGGAAGATGTCTGTTCACATCTTTTGTCCATTTTTTGATTGAGTTGCTGCTTTTTTTGTTGTTCAGTTGTATGAGTTCTTTATGTATTTTGGAAATTAACCCCTTGTCAAATATATGATTTGCAAATATTTTCTCCCAGTTGGTGTGTTGTCTTTTTATTTTGATGGTTTCCTTTGCCATGCATAAGCTTTTTAGTCTGATGTAGCCCTACTTGTTTATTTTTTCTTTTGTTTCTCTTGCCTGAGGAGAAACCATATTCAAAAAAGATACCGCTAAGACTGATGTCAAAGAGTGTACCACCCATGTTTTCTCCTAGGATTATTATGGTTACAGGTCTTACATTCAAGTCTTTAATCCATTTTGAGTTAATTTTTGTGTGTGGTATAAGATAATGGTCTACTTTCATTCTTTTGCATGTGGCTGTCCAGTTTTCCCAACACCATTTATTGAAGAGACTCTCCTTTCTCCATTGTATGTTCTTGATCCGTTTGTCAAAAATTAGCTGTCCATGGATGTGTGGGTTTACTTCTGGACTTCAATTCTATCCCATTGATCTGTGTGTCTGTTTTTCTGCCAGTACTATGCTGTTTTGATTACTATAGCTTTGTAGTATATTTTGAAGTCAGGGAGTGTGATACCTGCAGCTTTGTTCTTTTTTCTCGACAAAAAGAACTACAACCTCTGGCATTCCTTGGTTTGCAGCTGCATCACTCCAATCTTTGGTTCCATTATCACATGCATTCTCCCTATGTCTGTCTGTATTCAAATTTCCCTCTTATAAGGATATCAGTCATTGGATTAGGGCCCACCCTAATTCAGTATGATCTCATCTTAACTTAATTACATCTGCAAAGACTCTACTTCCAAATAAAATCCTCTTCACAGGTACCAGGGGTTAGGACTTCAAGGTCTCTTTTTCTGGGGTCAGGGAGAGAGAGATAATTCAATTTCTAAGAGAGACTTTGTCAAAGATTTCTCCATTTAAGTTCATGAGAGATATTGTTCTGTAATTTTCTGTTCTTGTAATCTCTTTGTCAAGTTTTGATATCAGGATCCTTCTATCTTTCTAAAGTAAATTGGAAGTGTTCCCTCCTCCTCTGCCTTCAAAAAGAATATTAAATGTTTTATAGAATTCACTGCTGAAGTCATCTAGGCCGGGATCTTTCTTTGTGAGAAAGTTTTGATTAAAAATTCACCTTTACTGACAATGTAGGGCTATTATCTTCCCTCATTTGTAGTTATTGCTTCTAAGTATCCAGTATCACTAATAGGAAGTTAGATGTCTATCTAATTCTAGTACAGTCACCCCTCCGTGTCTGCGGGGGATTGGTTCCAGGACTATACTGGGATGCCAAAATCCGAGGACGCTCAAGTCCTTTATTATAAAATGGCACAGTATTTGCAGATAACATATGCATATCCTCCCTTATACTTTAAATTATCTCTTGATTACTTATAATACTTAATACAATGTAAATGCTATGTAAATAATTGTTATGCTGTATTGCTTAGGAAATAATGATGAGAAAATAAAGTCTGTATGTGTTCAGTAATGATGCAGTGATCGTAGGCCTGATCTGCAGTTGGTTGGATGCTTGGATGCAGAACCTGTGGATATGGAGGGCCAACTGCACTACTGTACATAACTTTTCTCTCCAGAAAGTTATCTCCAGAAATTTTAAGGACTTCTCATTTTATCTCTGGTGTTTTGCAGTTAAGATGGCGTAAGTGTAGATCTATTTTCATTCATCCTATTTAGCATTGGGTGGGCCCATATAATCTGTGGACTCTTGTTTTCTACTTTTTATGTTGCTTTCTTTATTTAGGGTTTCTTCCCTTCTCTTCCTTTTGTTAGCTTCTTCAACTATAAGACTGATATTAGACTTCTAGATCTAGCATGCATTTCCCCTAACTTTTCTTACATGTATTCTATCTCTGTCTTTTTGCTCTGTAATCTAGAAGAATTGTTTGACTTTTCTTTTATATGAAAACTTTGGTCTTTGTTACTTAGCCTATTCCAGAGTTTTTCATTTTCTGGATCTCTAATGGATTCTTTTCCTAGTAGTCTGTTCTTGTTTTCAGGATCCTACAACCTCACTTACCTTTTGAAAATATTATTAATATTTCTTTAAAAATCTCCTTTACTCTTTTCTATTAATTCTGTTTTCCTTAAGGTTAATTTTTCTTTTGAGTGCCTGTATTAGTTCCTATGGCTCTTGTAACAAATTATTACAAACTTAGTGGGCTAAAACAACAGAAATTTATTATCTTACACTTCTGGAAGAGAGAAGTCTGAAATCAGTATTACTGGTCCAAAATCAGATGCCAGGAGGGCCATACTCCCTCCAGAGGCTCTAGGGAGAATCTATTCCTTGCCTTTTTCAGCTTCTGGTGGCTGCCAGCAGTCCTTAGCCATGTGACCATGTAGGGGAGGAAGACATTTCCTCTACCCTCTCTGGGTTCTTCTGGCCGGAGAACAAATTAAATTCACAAGGGACACAACAGCTGGAGAAAATTAAACAAAGCTTTATAACATGTATACATGGGAGAGGCTCAGGCAAGCTAAGCAACTCTCCAAAATGGCTGAAGCCACCACCTTAAATATCATATTCAGCTAAAGACAAAGGAGGATTTTGGGGGTGGGGAGAGTCAGTTACAGGAGGTTACCAGACAAGTGCAATAAACAGCAATAAGATTATTATGCAGATTTAAGTCCTTGCCTTCTGTATTGATAGGAATTTCTAGAGATAAGGTCATCCCCCCTACTTCCTGGTACAGAGAGACAACTTTACAGATGGAGATTTCCTTTACAAATGTAAATGTCTCTTAACAAAAGGGTAAGTAAATTCTACTTTTCAGTTGCTTTCCTGTCTGCAGTGTATTAAAAGTAACCAGCCCCAAATAATCCTCATGCCAAAGAGACATATCTTGGGGTGGCCAGTTCCAGGCCCCCACAACCACATCACTCTGTCTCTTCTGTCTGTGTCAGATTTCCCTTTGCTTCTTTCTTATAAGGACACTTGTGATTTGGGCCCACCTGGATAGTCCAGCCTAATCTCCCCATCTCAAAATTCCTTAATTTAATCACAGCTGCAAAGATCCTTTTTGCCACGTAAAGTAACATTTATAGGTTCCAGGGATTAGGACCTGATGTCTCTGAGAGCCATTTTCATAGTATTTATTTTCCTAAAGTGTGCAATAATTATTTTTCAGGTATTCATCTGTCTTCAAGTGCCTTACACGCTTCTCTCAGCCTACTGCAGTGATTATTCAAAGCCAGGGTAGGCGCAAGTATCTAACGTTCTGAGGAATGGAGGCACTTTCTTCTCGATTTCAGCAAAAATTTGGAGCTCTGTCTTGCTTCTTTGCTTCCAGAGTTTTCCAGTATTTATTGTTCCTACTTGAGAGCAGACACCTCTGTTGGCTGCAGTTTGGTACAATGGGAGTAAGATTGTAAGGGTTAAACCACTTTGTTAGATCAGCAATGACACCCTAAAGGGGAGGTGCCACCGTCACCCCAAAGCTCCCTTCTTTTTTAGTATCTGCTGACTTAGTCTAAGCTTAGAATATCCAGAAGTTGCACCTACTTTTTTCAGTAGTCTTTTTCTGACCAAATTTAGCTTGGTTTCTCCCTCCAATTGGATCCTGATTGCTTTTTGTTTTTCAGGGTTCCTCGTAATTTCTGGGCCACAGAGAGAACTCTTCTTGCCTTCCAAAATTTTTATAGGTGTTTTTAAAACATAATTTTTGGATGTTTTTTCCCCCAAAAGATTTGAGAAACACTTGGGAGGGTAGAGTATGTACACCATTTGCACCCAATCAATCTTTAAACCACATGTAATGACTTTTCCTTCCATGATTGCCATCTTATCTTTATTTGTGCCTACCAAGTTGTATGGCTGAATCTGCCTGAAGTGGCTCAAATTTTAAAAATATTTTAATAAGTAACTAGATCATACAAAGTTCTGAAAACTTAAATTACCCTCATCTTCTGAAGCCTTTTTATTATATATTACTATATAATATATAACAGGCCAGATTATTTCATTAAATGAGTCAGATGAATAGGTAAAAAGAAAATATATATAGTAATGAGATTGAGAAAAATTACTATGTGATTGAGGAAAGACTTTTACTTGTGACAAAGCTAAGATAATATTCTAAAGAACTACACCTAAGATGAAAAAAATAATATCCTACTTTTTTCCAAGATTGGTTAATTACGTCTGAAAAAAAAATTTTCAAGTAGTTGTGCTATACCAAGGCACAAAAAAATGAAACATTTCTGACAGAGCTCAATGCTTTAAGAAAGAACAAAAACTGCTGTGTACAATTCTATTTTTAGAATTTAGAAAATAGCATACATTTAAGATTGGATCATTCTTAGGTTAAGTACCACCACACATGGCAAATGTTTGCTCTTAAATAGATGCCAACTGAATATAAAGGGAGTAATTCAAATTTAACATTTATAATTAAACATGAACCTCATTCCAGATCTTCTCAAGTGAGCAGTTATAAACTAAATAAACTTTGTTTATTTAGAGGCATAAATAGAGTAGTAATCGATACCCTAAGGATATGAAAGAATTCATGCAATTTTAGATGAATACTAAAAGCAGCAGCACAGTAGGGTGAACACTTGAGTTCTATTCCCATAATTCCATTTACTGGAGTGTCTCTGGGTCCCAGTTTCATTATCTACAATATGAAATGGTTACATTAGATATCTCCAAGGCACTTCTCCCCAGTCTTCTTCATGTCATGGCACATACAGAAAGGTAACATATGAACATCTACCTGGAGTAAACAGAAGTTGTTACTCAAGGCTGGAAGCTGGTTGCCCAGACAGCTGTGGGATCAATGTTTCAACACACCTGTATTCCATCTGTGGCATACCATTATGTCTTGGCTCAGAGTTTGGCGGAGCTGTGACCTTGCTACTCAAATTGTGGTCAATAGACTAGTAGTGCTGGCACTTCCTGAAGCTTGTTAAAAATGCAGAATCTTGGGCTCCACCCAGACCCACTAAATCAGAATCTGTACTTTAAAGATCCCTAGGTGATTCATGAGCACATTAAAGTTTAAGATGTATCACTCTAAGAAAGTTTCAGCTCTAAAATTCAATGAGTCTAAGAAATAATCTGCTTTATGGAAATGTATTCTAGAGTGTATTTCATAATCTTATTAAATTCCACATTATAGTTAGAATAAAATTAACAACATATTTTTACACATATTTGTTACTAATTTTTGAAAACAGACAAATGTTTACTTCTTAGAAAAAGGGGAATATATTTACCTGCTTGTACACCTGTCGTAAGTACATGATCTCCTCCACCGTTCCCAAGGAGATTAGCCTAAGCACTTTGACATCCCTGCATTGCCCAATTCTATATGCTCTGCAAAAAGATGAACACAAAGCACATACAAGTCAAGTCCAACTGCGGGTTCAGGACATAGCTTTTGGACATAAAAATGCACAGATCAATGGAACAGAATTGAAAGCCCAGAAATAAAACCACACATCTATGGACAGCTAATCTTCGACAAAGAAGCTGAGGGCCTACAATGGAGAAAAGAAAGTCTCTTCAACAAATGGTGCTGGGAAAACTGGACAGCCACATGTAAAAGAATGAAAATTGACCATTCTCTTTCACCATTCACAAAAATAAACTCAAAATGGATCAAAGACCTAAAGATTAGGCCTGAAACAATAAGTCTCCTAGAAGAGAATATAGGCAGTACACTCTTTGACATCAGTTTCAAAAGAATCTTTTCGGACACCATAACCCCTCAGACAAGGGAAACAATAGAAAGAATAAACAAATGGGACTTCATCAGACTAAAGAGCTTCTTCAAGGCAAGGGAAAACAGGATTGAAACAAAAAAACAGCCCACTAATTGGGAAAAAATATTTACAAGTTATTTATCTGACAAAGGGTTAATTCTCCATAATATACAAAGAACTCACACAGCTCAACAACAAAAATCAAAAAACCCAATCAAAAAATGGGCAAGGGACATGAACAGACATTTCTCCAAAGAAGATATATGGATGGCCAATAGACACATGAAAAGATGCTCATCATCACTAATCATCAGGGAAATGCAAATCAAAACTACACTAAGATATCACCTTACACCTGTTAGAATGGCAAAAATATCCAAAACCAAGAGTGACAAATGTTGGAGAGGCTGTGGAGAAAAAGGAACCCTCATACACTATTGGTGGGAATGCAGCCACTATGGAAAACAGTATGGAGATTTCTCAAAAAGTTAAAAATAGAAATACCTTATGACCCAGCCATCCCACTACTGGGTATCTATCCTAAGGACCTGAAATCAGCAATTCCAAAAGTCCCATGCACCCCTATGTTCATCGCAGCATTATTCACAATAGCCAAGCCATGGAACCAACCTATGTGCCCAGCAACTGATGACTGGATAAAGAAGATATGGTATATATATATACAATGGAATACTATTCAGCCATAAAAATGGACATCCCATTCACAAGAACATGGATAGACCTTGAGGGTATTATGTTGAGTGAAATAAGCCAGACAGAGAAAGACGAACTCTGTATGACTCCACTCATAGGTAGTAGTTAACATATAGACAAAGAGAACTGATAGGTGGTTACCAGGGGAAAGGGGGGGTGGGGGGAGGGCACTAAGGGTGAAGTGGTGTACCTACAACATGACTAATAATAATGTACAACTGTAATTTCACAAGGTTGTTAACTATCATAATCTTAATAAAAAAAATACATGTACCTAATTAAAAAGGAACATTACTAAAATTTTAATTAATTAAAAAAGAAATATTTTATGTTTAGATATGCTATATTATTTAATTATAACGCAAAAATAGAAATACCAGTCAGTGAAGAGAAAATTATTACAGAAGAAATTTACATATCAACTTCATTGCTGTTTTTGGACATCACCTTGCATTGTCCAAAAACTTTTCCTAAGTTCAGATTTTTCTTTTACAGCAGTCTTAAGCTTATGAACAGGTTGTGTTCTCAAATTATTCCATTTATATAAAACTCTAAAAATGCAAACTAATCCATAGAAACAGAAAGCAGATCAGCGGTTGCTTGGGAACAGGGGCGTGGGGAGGGGCAGGAGGGATGGACTACAAAGGGGTGCAAGGAACATTTGTGGAGTGATTAATGGTTACTATCTTGATTGTGGTGGTTGCACAGGTGCATATATATATATCTCAAAACTTAATCATACACTTTAAATATGTGCAGTTTACTGGACATTAATTACATCTAAATGAAACTCTTAAAAAAAAAACTGGCCAGTTAATTACCTGGCCAGCCTATGGAAGTGCAGACTTACAGCCCTCATCCACAGAGACGTCCACGCACTCGGTATGACTGTATTAATCACTCAGTTGACTAGTACTCCAGATGTTCTGAAATGGACCATAGTGCTAACTAAAACTCTAACCTGACTGCCACACTGGTTAACTATGGGTCTCGTCCCTGCAGCTTCTCCCAGGTGGAGGCTTCACTGGATGCTGTGAATGAGGTCGCCTGTTTCTAACTACCTGTTACAGTCATGAGGGATCAGGGGCAAGGCCACACTGTCTCATACTTGACAATGTTACAATTTGGGGGAATTTTTTTTACCAACATTTACTGATTCAATCTTCTTGCTAGTAAGTCTAGTCGTATTTTCTATTGCTCCATGATTCAGTCTTGGTAGGTTGTATTTTTCTAGGAATTTGTCCATTTCATGTAGGTTATCCAATTTGTTGGTGTGCAATTATTTATAGTAGTGTTTTATAATCCTATTCATTTCTGTAAAATCAGTAGTAATGTCCCTCTTTTCATTTCTGATTTTAATGACTTCAATTTTCTTTTTTTCTTAGACAATCTAGCTGAAGATTTGTCAAGTTTGCTAATCTTTTTGAAAAAATAACTCTCAGTTTTCTTGATCTTTTTCCATTGTTTTTCTAGTCTCTATTTCATTCATCTCTGTTCTAATCTTTTATTATTTTCTTCAATTTGCTAGCTCTGGGTTTAGCTTGTTCTTCTTTTTGTAGTTCCTCAAGATATAACGTCAGATAGCTGATGTGAGCCCTTTCTTCTTTTTTAATGTTAAGTGTTTAAATAAACTTCCCTCTTAGTACTGCTTTCACTGCACCCCAGAAGTTTTGGTATATTGTGTTTTCATTTTCATTTTTATCAGGATATTTCCTAATTTCCCTTGTGATGCATTGTTTGTTTAAGAATGTGTTCTTTAATTTCAACATATCCGTGAGTTTTCTGCTGTTTATTTCTATTTTCATTCTATGGTGATTGGAAAAGAAACTGTATGATTTCAACCTTTTAAAATTTATTAAGATTTGTTTTGTGGCCTAACAGATGGTCTATAGTGGAGAATGTTCCACATGTACTTGAGAAAAATGTGTATTCTTTTTATTTTTGGTGAGGAAGATTGGCCCTGAGCTAACACCTATTGCTAATCTTCCTCGTTTTGCTTGAGGAAGATTGTTGCTGAGCTAACATCTGTGCCAATCTTACTCTATTTTGTATGTAGGATGCCACCACAGCATGGTTTGATAAGTGGTGTGTAGGTCTGCACCTGGGATCCAAATCTGCAAACCCTAGGCTGCTGCAGCAGAGCGCGTGAACTTAACTACTACACCACCAGGCAGCCCCAAGAATGTGTATACTGATGTTGCTAGAAGGAGAGTTCTGTATACGTCTGTGTTGTTCAGCTCCTCTCTTTCCTTACTGATCTTCTGACTGGATGTTCTAACTACTACTGAAAGTGGACTACTGAAGTCTCCACTATTATTGTAGACCTGTCTATTTTTCCTTTCAATTCTGTCAATGTTTGCTTTATACATTTTGGAGCTCAGATGTTTGGTGCATTTACGTTTATAATTGTTATAGCTTTTTTGTGAATTGAATCTTTTTTCATTATATATACCCTTCTTTGTCTCTTATAATAGTTTTCAACTTAAAGTCTATTTTATCTGATATTAGTGTAACCACCCCTGCTCTCTTTTGGTTTCTATTTGCATGGAATATCTTTTTCCATTCTTTCACTTTCAACCTATACATATCCTTAGATCTAAAGTGAGCATATATAGACAGCATATAGTTGGATACTGTTTTTTTTAATCCATTCTAATCTATACTTTTGATTGGGAAGTTTAATCCATTTACATTTAAAGTAATTAATAATAGGGAAGGACTTACTTTTGCCATTTTATTTGTTTTCTGTATGTGTTATAGCTATTTTGTCCCTCATTTAGTCCATTACTCCCTTCCTTTATGTTTACTTGATTTTTTTTAATGACACATTTGGATTCCTTTCTCATTTCCTTTTGTGTATATTCTATAGATATTTTCTTTGTGGTTACCATGGAGATTACATATAATATGAAAAAGTTATAACAATCTATCTTAAATTGATACCAACTTAACTCCAATTACAGTAAAAAACACTCCTTTACAGCTCCACCCCCTACTTTCATGTTATTGATGCCACAAATTATCTTTATATGTCATTTATTCATTAACACAGATTTATAATTACTTTTACGCATTTGTATTTTAAGTCCTATAGAAAACGAAAAGTCAAATTACAAACCAAAATTACAATTATACTGGTTTTTATATTTGTCCATGTACTTACCTGTACCGGAGAAATTTATATTTTCATATGGCTTTGCATTACTGTCAGAGTTCTTTCATTTGAACTTGAAAGTCTCTCTTTAGCATGTCTTGTAGGGCAGGTCTAGTGGTAACAAACTCCCTCACCTTTTATTTGGGAAACTCTTAATTTTTCCCTTCATTTTTGAAGGACAGTTTTGCCCAATATAGAATTCTCAGTTGATAGCTTTTTCTTTTGGTACTTTAAACATAACATCCCACTGCCCTCTGGCCTGCAAGGTTTCTGCTGAGAAATCCACTGATAATCTTACTGGGGATCCCTTATACATTACAAGTTGCTTTTCTTTTGCTGCTTCCAAGAATCTCTCTGTCTTTGACATTTGACAGTTTGATGATAACATGTCTCAGTGTGGGTCTCTGGATTTTATCCTACCTAGAGTTTGTTGAGCTTCCTGTGTTTGTATATCTGTCTTTCCTCAAATTTGGGAAGTTATTTTCTCAGTCATTATTTCTTAAAATAACTTTCTTTCCTTTTCTCTCTTTTCTCTTGGGAATCACATAATGTTTGTATTGGTCTACATAATGTATTCCAGAGTCCCTTAGGCTATGTTCATTTTTCTTCATTTTTTTTTCGTTTTTGCACCTCAGATCTGTCTTGAAGTTTGCTGATTCTTTCTTCTGCCTACTTGAGTCTGATGAATCCGTCTAGTGATTCTTTTCAATTCAGTTATTGTATTTTTCAGGTCCAGAATTTCT